AGGAATGCGTAAAACGTTTCCCACAGAAAACAAACGCGATACCATCTTCTCGATACCTGTCGTCTATTAACCTTTAAGCGTTCTGTATTAAGGTTCATTTAATTTTTAAATAAAAGCTTTTCCGCTAAAGAATTTATTTACTAAAGCAATCAACCGCCTTTCTTTTTGGATACACCAACCGTTCTTCCCCGGCGTCCTGTAGTTTTGGTATGCTGACCACGAACTCGAAGTCTAGAAAAAAGGAATCGATGAATGTGAGGTACTTACCCCCAGTAGTGCCTAAGACCACGATGAGCTTTAATCCTCTTTAGTCTTTCAAGATCTTCTCTGAGTTTTGTTTCTAGGGCGCCAGAGATTATTTGACAATGCTTCCCGTCGTCAATGTCTTTCTGCCTGTTTAGAAACCAATCGGGGATTTTATATTGCCGGGGATTATTCATGACTGTTGTAAATTTTTCAATCTCATCCTCCGTTAATTCTCCCGCACGCTTGTTCATGTCGATATCTGCTTTTTTACATACAACGGTGGCGTATCTACGGCCAACTCCTTTAATGGCGGTAACAGCGTAAACAATTTTACGTTCGCCATCAATGTTTGTATTCATCACACGTAATATGTGGTGAAATTTCTCCGGAAGCATAAGAGGCTAAGCAGGGAATTAGACATAAATTTAAAAAAGGGGAAATATGGGTAGACTAACTAACCATGGTTGAGAATGGACGTGGGAGGAGGAAAGCGGCTCCTGATTCATAAAACGAAATAAACAACAATTTAAAATAGAATTAGAATAAGCGTCTGGATAAGCTAATTATCTTAAATCTCAATTAAATTTCTTTAAAAAATAATGGTATAGCTTTAATACTTTATTATATTTATATATAATCGCGATTGGATTAAAACATACACGCTTTTACCTAGCTTCCAGTATTAGGACATCAAGAATTTGCTTTTTCGCAACCTAAACTAGATAGTAAAATATGTCAAGTTTACAAATAGGGATAATATGGCACATTCTAATTGAATTTTTCATGAGCCTTGCCTAATTTATTATCTTATAATATCTCATTAGGAATATACTTTTAATAACCATAAAGACAATTTTTATTATCATGCACACTATTGACCCAGGACAAGGTGTGCTCTTCTGAGTATTCCTGCCAATATAACCAAGTTGGGAAAGCAAGGTCAAATAACTTCTAAACAACGAAAAGAGACTGCGCTCAAACAGAAGGCCACACCATCTTGATACTCATACTTTTGATTAAAATATTTGATGATCCTTAACTCTTGGACTACAACTATTTCAACGAAGAAAGGCGCCGCAGGGGTTAATTCTGTCTGGGTGAATCTGAGCCTTTTTGGACGTGAGGGCGCAAATATGCGTAGAGTAACTGGGGTTGTGTGAATACCCTGAGGTAACAATGAGTTTAAAGAAGCCGTGACATGCCAAGTTAATTTTTTAGTTGGTAATATACAAGCTATTATATGCATTTATTGCAAACTCATCAATAAATATGCGTATAAAAATAGTCGAAATTAAAAAAGCTTAGTTTACTCATTAATGTAATGTAGGAATTTAGAAAAACCGGATTTCGAAGAATCCCTTAATAGATTGATTTTCTTGTCTGTATTAATGATATCGAATTCACTTTGGTTGCATTAACAATATCCAGCCCAATTTACACTCTATAACCATCAAAATAACAAGGCCAGACAGAAACATCTTCTACAACTGATCATTCCCTTATTTTGATATAAAGTATTCATATATATGAGATGTATTCACCCTATTTCGTTTAAGGTGATGAAGGAAACTCTGCTTAGATAAAAAAATTCATATCTATGTTGAGTATAAATTAGCCTAATTAAAATTTATGGTTAAACCGATTAACAATAATTTCATTATGTTGCTAATTAAAATATATTTATACACAAAAAATGACCAAAACTAGTCTTTAGAATATAAATGCTTTCGAAAAATTTTTAACTATCTTCTTTATAATCCTAAAATAGCATTGAATATATAATAAGGGAACGTTTTTTATATAGAAAAACTAGTATACAAAGAATTCTTTGGGGTCGAGGAATGATAGTCGAAGGAATTTTTCGCACAAATGATTGATTTATATAAAATTCGTAATTTTCGTTACTGGTTTAGTTCCCATATCCAGCTAAGCGTCTCGCACTGTAGCAAGCTATCTGGTATTCTTTGTGTGCCATGCATTTTTACAATTTCAATTTTTCGACCCATAAACCCTTGCAGGATCTTTTGTCTTCAGATAACCTTTTTATGTATGGGCCTGTAGGTCTCCCCCACATAGCTAATATCGCATAAACACAACATTTTGTAGCTCTTCGATCTGGAGAGAGAACATAAATGTTCTCGAACAGATTGCAATACCTGATTTCCTTCTTCCTTACTAATTTGCCTTTCCGCTTCGAGTTAGCGGCATAAAGGCACAATAGTTTGGACCTTTATCTAACCCTAAATATCTATTTGCCTCCATCCTATTTCTAAAATAATTGTCATTTAGTCCTTGCGATTAATTGTTTTTAGCCGAAATTATCTTTAGTCGTCTCAATTCTTGGTCCAGATGACTAATATCTGTCAGACTCATGCTCTAATTATCATAGACTTCATAACGCCTACTTTAAACCACTATGTGTAGTTGAAAAATAAATCCAAAGAAAATCTGCGTTTGTTGGTTTCTTATACATTTCTCTACCACTCCACAAATGTCTTTAGTCTATCGCATACGATTTAAAAACTGTGGAGCAATAAATCGACTACTCATAAGTAGTCATTCGCACAAATAAAAACCGAAACACAAATAGGTGCACAACTTTCCATGCGCTGATTTTTACCATTATCTCTCTAGGCTGCATTCAGGCAAATAATTTGCTCGGATTCGCTTCTTACAATATATTGACATCACTTCATCGCCAACTTCCACGCGAAATATCCTCGACTCATACCTGCGTGTTGTATTCCAGAACAAAATGCAAGCGACTCTTTTATACATTGTAGGATACACAGCACCTCAACAAAATATTTATGCCACTTATATACGCATCACCTCTACGTAAAACCCAATAGCGCAAATAAGAGGTGTAATATCGCTATAAAAACTTATCTTTGCCCTATATCAA